GAGCGTGGCAATTTTACGTTAGCCTGGGTATTAGGGCACGAGGGTTGCAAGGGTGACGAAAAGGCATATGGCCAAGCAAGGCTCATCAATGCCATTCATAGGCCCAAAACCCTTATACGGCGATCTAAAAGCAGTAACGAGAATGGTCACGCAACGATGGGTGGCCAACAAATCTCTAGAATGGTGGAGAAATTTATCAGGGCAGAGACAGGCAAAAAAGTTCATAGTAGAACAGTCGCCAAAATTCATAGCAGACCTGTTCAGCAAAGACATAAAGACAGCCAAAGCTGTAGTGGGTGTACTAACAGGGTAGTGTACGTTGAATAGGCATCTAAAGCAAATAGATTGACGGACGAAGCCATGTGCAGGTTCCGCCAATCCGAAGAAGAAACGATAGACCGCATTTTATTTCGGCGCGACAACCTTGCAAATGTGCGGTTCTCGGTAATAGGCAATGATAGGCCATTGTCAGAGAGTTACGTGGAAGGTTAAGTCTCCCAGTGGCTAGACTTTGTGAAAAAGATTGTACTGGGAAATGTAACCTCAGATCAGAAAAGGACAACAATAGATCTGGACAAGTCGCAGTGGATCAAGCCACCTCGAAGAATCTATGTATCTAAGAGGTTATGTATAATATGCATAAAATATATCGTCAATATCACGAAGTGGCGTAACTCATTTTTTTATATTTTCCAGGAGAGCGGTTTAAAGTTTTTTACGACTTTTGTTTCAATACTAACTAAAATATATTGAAGCCACTGCGATTCTTTGTTGTACAAGAAACACAGTGACTACAATATATTTTGGTTCGTATTGAGATAAAAGTAGTAAGAAGCTTTAAACAGCTCTCCCGAAAAATATCAAAAAATGAGTTACGCCACTTCATGACATTGACGCCGAATATGTTATATAAGAATTTTAGATATGTTACCTATTATAGCACTATTCATATTATTTGTTTAAACACTGTATCACAGTTTAAAGAATATAAATATATAATATTTTTCATATTGGGGTTTCCATAATAATTATTAATAATAATTACCCTATTGACAATTCCATATTACAAAGAATTAGGATAGAATAATATATCTAATATTAATGTATATTTAATACTAAATACTAAAATATATATATTGATCAATTATTAAATACGCCTAAAACTGTTAATCAATGAAACTAGAACTGTGTTTTTATTTTTCTACTTGCGGTATTAAAATTCCTTAGTATTTTTAGTTGATCCCTCGTATACGGCCAGCGTTCTGACTGATAAAAAGCACTTCCGCTGCACCCGATAAACGTACAAATTTTTTGTCACCTCGAAGGGTCACGGGCCGCCTTTGAAGTCAAAATAACAATAGAATTCCTTAGAGTGGGCCAACTGATATATTTATATTCTTTAAACTGTGACTGTATCTTTTGATCTTTTATAGAATCTATTTAGTTGGCAAAAACTAATCAATAAATAATAGTTTCATTATTTATTGATTATATTAGTTCATTAGTAAAATGCTCTTATAATCTTTATTACAACTTTTAAGCTTTTTATTTAGTAGTAGTAGAAATAGCATATGGAGCAAAAAATCTGTGTTAAATTACCTTAAAGATAAACATTAGAGGTCATCGCTGGTTATTTCTTAGGTAACTTGAATGTTTTTTTTTTATTACAGGATATGTCTTTGCAAAAGGAAGTAGGGCCATAGGTAAAAAATTAATAACGAAAATAACGTAATATCAAAATGAAATTAGAAAGCAAACGACGTGGGTATGAGATATTAAGATATTTCATTCTCTTTAAATGAGTACTGCAATTTTATCAGAAATATAAATTTTTCATTTAAGTCAATACAAATTAATATACCTGTACATTCGGTTTTAGAAATAGATACCTACAGAGATTAAGATTTACGCGTTTTTTACTTAAATACAAATTTGCTTAGTAGGTAAAAACAGATGGCAATTTTTAATAAAAACAGGTAGATGCCCTATGATATTAATTGACGGAGAATTTTAGAAATTGTAAAATGCGAGATGGAGCGAAAAATTGTATATTTTTTTAGTGATAACTGAACACGATTTTGTCAATAGTATTAATAAATAGGTATATTTGATATAAAAAATTATCTTTGATTGTGAATGTTAATTTGGCTTCCACGTTTCGGTCACACTGTTTCACCAAAAATGCCTACAACTTTTAATTATTTTTAAATGGCACCTTCGGTATTTTGTTACTTTATTCGACAGAAAATAGATAAAAAAAAGATACTCTGAATTGAATAACATATCATATGTCAACTCTTTGACATTTTCGAATATAGTTTTTTTTTGAAATTGTTGTGGTTTTTATTTGAAAAAACATGCGGTTCATAACGACAATTTGACTCAAAATACCAAGTGTGTAGTATCAAATTATTCGTAAAAAAATGCTTTTTCCAAATACGAGTATACTAATGAGCCGCTTTTGCTCCATTTGAAAAAAATGAGCCACGATTAAAAATACGATTTGTGCATCTTTTAACCGGTCAGGACAAGACACTAAAAACATTAGACGACCAAATCTTTTTTTCCAAGGTTCCTTGATTAAAAATCTTTGTTTTTAACACAGCCATGGCACTCTAGGTTGGAATTTAAAATACAATTTTGTTTTAATCGAAAATGTGAAAAATTGACATATGATATGTCATTCTATTTAGAGTGTCATTTTCTATCGAATAAAGTAAAAAAATACCGAGGGTGCCATTTAACAATCAAAAGTTTTATTAATTTCCGGTAAAACAGGAAGTGGCCAAAAAGAATTGAATACGTCAATCAATCAGAATTTGTGTGATATCCTAACATAACAAATGTCATTTTTTACCTGAAAAGATAAAAAAATTATAGAGATGTTGAGACGCACCCTATTTAAGACGCACCCGGTATATATAGCAAAATAAACAACAAAAAATTGATTATTAAAAAAAATTAGACATTTTCAAGAAAAATAAGATAAAACTATCTTAACAAGATGACTAGAATTTTTCGAAAAATATGTAGATTTTTTGGTTGGCCAAGCAAATTTGTATTTAAATATATGTATAGGGTGTCAAAAAGTAGGAATGAGAAGTATATCTTAAACAAAAATCACTATCAAATAGATCCAAAAAATATATATATGCCGTGCAATTGAGGAACGTTGGTTTTCTAGATGTGTTTTGATGTTTTTATAGTACAGTCATTTGAGAGTTTTACCTACAAAGTTATCCGGGAGTTTTGAAAATGGGTAATTTTATAGTTTTCGATGTGCTCTTTTTGAATTTTAACTGACTTTTGGGTGCCAATCCACTAAGCCGGCGGGAGCGACTAAAAAAGGTGGCAAACTTAAGATTCAGAAGCCTATTAAAATCTATAAAATTAACGATTTTCACAACTCCTGGAAAACTTCCTGGTAACCCCCCTTTTTTTAGAACTAAAAGACTATACTATTATACGATATAATGTTTTGTTTAAGACAAAGTCAAAATTAGGTACTAGGTTCACATTCATCAGAGTGTTGCATATACTTTTAAACACCGACATCTGAAAAACTAATCGTACGATTTATAGTTTTTATATAAGAATGTAAAGAGAATTTTTTTGAAGAAGAACTTATTTTCGTTCCCCGATATGTTGTTTATGCGATCTTCCTGATAGTATTTTAGGTCTAAGAGGTATTCACGATTGCTATTTCACAAATTGTTGCTTTATACAACTGAAAACGGTTCCTCCCCGTAGCTCCAACATTTAACATTAAACATTTAACAGGCATATTTATTTATAAAAAGAGACTGCCTAAGTCTGTTAAATCAGACGTCACGTCAACGGGCGAGGCTTAAAAACAACACAGTTCCAATCTGCAGGTACAATCTGCTTTAAACTACTAAATAATTTTGAATTATAACATCAAATTACACTAAAACGTCGATTGAAGAAATAAGAAGATGCGCAACCTTATGGGCGATTTCGTGACACAAAACCTCTCCGAGATGTAGCTGGCGTTACCGTCAGCCGGTCCGGGAATCCCAAGATTTAGTTTAGCTCTACGCCGCTGCGCGTTGATAGTCGTTTACAGCACAGCGGATAAAGAATACTGCATTGTAGTTCTGCTTTCAGTCGACAGAGTGAATGGTTGCCGGAGACAGTGTTGCCAGAACTACAGATTAATCCGTATATTTACGGATTTTGGGTACAGTACGTTAATAATACAAATTTTCTATCATTAAACAATTTAATATAATATTATATGATTAAACAAAAAACGGCGTGAGAGTTGGCTTGGAAATGAAAATCGCTGTTATTTCATATGTAAAATATTATAGTAAATGTCAATAATCGTCCTTAACTACTTTTTGCGATCATATATATACATATTTAGTACCTATAAAATAATTTTTATTTTTGTTGTTTATTTAACACGATTACATTTCAATACATAAACGCGGATTTTGCATCCAAAGATATTTTCGTAAAACGCATTACAGATATTACACATTTTTATATGGCAACACTGTCGCTTTCACCTACAACACCGTCTTCGATATACCTTCGCTGGCCGAATTAGAGAAAATAAGTATTTTATGCGTTTACCGCAAAACGATTGGTGTCTCCATCGTACAGCACTTGAGACGTAAGGCGAAATCAAATCAGCCTTGTCACGAATTCGCCCATTAGGTTGCGTATCTTCCCAATTTTTTCCATCAACGCTAAAACCTTTTCAGATGCAGACCTTATATTAGAATAAACACCTGGGAATTGTATTTGCCTATTGTAATTCTCTCTTATTTGCCCCCCAGAAAATGTGTTGTGAAACATGTGTGAAAATAACTTGTGGTTTGGAAAGGTTGTTAAGCTCGGCCTTTTGACTTGACTTAACGACTTAGGCTATCTCTTGGAGAAAAAATACGGGTTTCCTAATCTCATACCCATTTATCGAGAGTATTATGTAACAGGTAAAGATATGCTACTCAAAGAGAAATTAGGAATACCTAATAAGCAGCTCTCGAAGAGTTGCCTCGTCATCCTCTTGTATTTCTTTCTTCGTCTCATTACGCGATGTATTACCATCGCTAGATTTCTGCCTGAGCGGAGGAGTGTACGCGCCAGGCCGGCCCCCTCTAGCAGTCAGCTTAAGGGGTGCCCAAGATGAAATTTCTTGTTCAGACAAACTGTCATGCTCCTCCACCTCGATTAGCTCTGTCGAAACTGTAAGCAAAAACGCGTTCAACAAGGCTGAACGATAATCAAGCAGAATTTCTAATAATTATCAAAGCCAATTGGGGCATTTTTTTGGAATTCAGTTATGTACTTGTTTTTATAGTTTTTGCGCAGTTTTGGAAAAAATGTTCAAGAGCTGTTTAGGCTTGGTGCAAATTGTGTCGCGTGTATGATAACCAGGCGTACAGATAGGGACACGTCTGTATACAAATGTCTGATTCACAATCGAAACAATTATTGTTACTAAACTTTAGTTCTGAATCAGAATCAGATGACGCCTAAATGGAAATTTTACTATATTCAATAATAAAAATAATGCACGCGATGCGCCAAAAACAGTGTCTGAACTACAGAGAGGCACTGCTCAGGTCACGCGGGTCGCGCTGTGCTGCGCTTTGTTGCCAATTTGCGCTGTCCTATTTATTTCTGTAGTTTACAAAAACTCGCGTCACGCCAGGCCATGTCACACGCGATACACGCGACTCAATTTGCGCTTAAGCGGCGTTTACACGATTCAAGTTTATTTTGCACAAATACTTGATTGCAAGTACTTGCAATTGAACATTTTAAAATTGTATGTTCACACAAGTCAAGTTATTGTGCAAGAACTATGGATACCACAGAGATTGTTAAATGTGGTGTAAATATTTTATGTCATACGTTAAGTAATGAATTGCGTACTTTGTTAGAAAAAAGAAAAATCAAAAAGCAAGAGTATGGGTAAAACCATAGATAAATCTGAGGAAAAATTACTTATTCCAAAACGCTTTCAGAGGCAGCATCTCTCATATTTTGATTTATATAGTGTACACTAAGGTATACACTTCTAACGTTCTACAAACATTCGTGCTTTTCGTAAATTGTTAAAAACCTAAGTTGGTCGTCAGACAATCTGCTTGGCGGCATTTTTTCGTGCAACTGCTACTGCAAGAACTTGACAATGTGTTTACATGTCAAATTTTCGCTGTGCAAGTCCTAGCATGCAAGAAAAGTAGACCGTCGATCAACTTTACTTGCAAATTAATAATTAAAGTAAGTTTTTACTTGCAAAGTAATTTTTCTTGTACAATCAGTTGAGCAATTACTTGAAACACAGTTTACATTAAGTAAGTACTTGCAATCAAGTCCTTGCGCAAGCAAAACTTGCATCATGTAAACGTAGCTTTAGCGGCATTTACACGAAGCAAGTTTTGCTTGCGCAAATAATTGATTGCAAGTACTTGCAATTGAACATTTTAAATTGTAGGTATGTTTACACTAGTCAAGTTATTGTGCAAGAACTACCACAGAGATTATTAATGTTGTGTAAATATTTTATGTCAAACGTTAAGTGATGAATTGCGTACTTTGTTAGAAAAAAGAAAAATGAAAAAGCAAGAGTATGGGTAAAACCATAGATAAATCTGAGGAAAAATTACTTATTCCAAAACTCTTTCAGAGGCAGCATCTCTCATATTTTGATTTATATAGTGTACACTAAGGTGTACACTTCTAACGTTCTACAAACATTCGTGCTTTTCGTAAATTGTTAAAAACCTAAGTTGGTCGTCGGACAATCTGCTTGGCGGCATTTTTTCGTGCAACTGCTACTGCAAGAACTTGACAATGTGTTTACATGTCAAATTTTCGCTGTGCAAGTCCTAGCATGCAAGAAAAGTAGACCGTCGATCAACTTTACTTGCAAATTAAAAATTAAAGTAAGTTTTTACTTGCAAAGTAATTTTTCTTGTACAATCAGTTGAGCAATATTACTTGAAACACAGTTTACATTAAGCAAGTACTTGCAATCAAGTTCTTGCGCAAGCAAAACTTGCATCGTGTAAACGTAGCTTTAGCGGAATTTACACGAAGCAAGTTTTGCTTGCGCAAATAATTGATTGCAAGTACGTGCAATTGAACATTTTAAATTGTAGGTATGTTTACACTAGTCAAGTTATTGTGCAAGAACTACCACAGAGATTGTTAAATGTTGTGTAAATATTTTATGTCAAACGTTAAGTGATGAATTGTGTACTTTGTTAGAAAAAAGAAAAATCAAAAAGCAAGAGTATGGGTAAAACCATAGATAAATCTGAGGAAAAATTACATATTCCAAAACGCTTTCAGAGGCAGCATCTCTCATATTTTGATTTATATAGTGTACACTAAGGTGTACTAACGTTCTACAAACATTCGTGCTTTTCGTAAATTGTTAAAAACCTCATAATGTAGTCGTCAGACAACCTACTTGGCGCCATTTTTTTCATGCAACTGCTAGTGCAAGAGCTTGACAACGTGTTTGCATGTCAAATTTTCGCTCTGCAAGTCCTAGCACGCAAGAAAAGTAGACCTGGGCCCATGTTCTGTAACTTTGACATAAAAACGTTACGCTTTCAAAGCGGTGAGCGCAAGTATTCGATCAGCGAAACGGAAGGCAGTCACATGTCGATTTTGGTATTTTCGTTGCCATGCGAATCGTGTTCTGGATATGTGTTGAGCACATATTGGCAACATTACAATTTATAATGTAGCTAATAGTCAAAAGTTGATAACTGACTGATGTAACAATGAAAAATGTCAATGATACGTGAATTGGATAACCTATTGTTGAGTTATGTCAAGCTATTTTTCTATGGATATGTCATTATTCTTATTATACGAGGGAAGTGTTGAAGACGCTTCTGAGCATTTTCGATGTTGTGTACAATATTTATAGCTGCCAAGTCGTAAAATATCAATTATTTATTGAGGAATTTATAGAAGTAGTAATTTTCACTAAAGAGCAAGATAATGCACAAAATCAAAATTTTTTCGATTTTCACTGACAGTTCGACAAGCAAAACGATCGTTTAAGGCAACCGTTTTCAAAGCGCTCAGCGCAATCAGTAAAGACGCTAAACGCGTCAGACGAGAATACCGAAATCGTTAATTAAGTGCGCACTCAGCGAAAATTAACGTCATATACGCTGAGCGTCTAAAAGCGCTTAGCGTTTTCAAAGTTACAGAATACGGGCCCTATAGTCAACTTACTTGCAAACTGATTATTCTTGTACAAGTACTTGAAACACTGTTTACATTGTTCAATTACTTGAAATCAAGTACTCGCGCAAGCAAAACTTGCATCGTGTAAACGCCGTTTTAGCCTTATTGGCGCGTATCGTGTTTTATTAGTGTGCCAAAGCCAGCAGTACACGCTCACCGAGGCATTCCGTTCAGAACTTGGAAATCCCGGTATCGAAAGTACCGGAAATTCCCGGTACTTAATTAAAGAACCGGGACTCGATTAATTTCCGAGACTCGGTAACAATAATCAAAAAATCATTTTTTGTTACGTCCGAAAGATTCTTGATACTTTCTAACAGTCGAAATCAAACTCTTCTGAATAAGCAGTGATGCTATTCTTTATAGATCTTACTTCTTTTCTCTTTTGTATAATATTTTAGTATTGTTGAAATTTAAATATATTATTTTTTATTTAGTATAATGTAGTTCTTTGTATAAGTATAATTTTATATTATGAAATTTTTATAGGCATTTGCATTTTAAATTCAAAAATGTATTTTTTTTTAGATTCAATTAAGTTGGTTTATGTTGTTCGCTTGTGTTCATGTTTGTGTCCATGTTAACTTTCTCATGACTGATTACTTATGAGAACTTAATAAAATTTGATATTATTTTCATTAAAAAACTCAATTTGTCATTGGTTTTAGTTTTGAAAAACATGCCTTATGGAACTTGATTGCGGAAATGCACCAATACTGAACAAAAATTAGCTAGTACCGAAAGTAGCGAGACCCTGGGAAATTCCGGTTCCTTAAAAGTGCGGTAACGAAATTTTCTGTTCCGAAAAATAGCTCCGAGAGCGCCGCATGTACAGTGTGTCCCATTCTCGTGTATTTTATGGGGTTTCTCGTTTATGAGTAGGAATACAAAGATGCAGTTTTCACATCACTATGCTATTTTTTATGAAACTAAAGATGTTACACACAGATTTGTCTTAGCCTTCTTAAAATTCCTGAAATACAATGCTAAATAAAGGGTATTCCAATAAGAGGTTTCGGATGTGTTGATAACGAATAATATAACGAATAAGTTTTATAACATACCTAAAAGTTATTTATGGCAGTGCTTAGCTGGAGAGTGTACAATTATACGTGGAACACTCAGCACACTGGCAGCACACAGATTTTTTGTTGAAATTTTCCATTAATGCTGAACACATTTCTGGAGTTATGTTACGAATTGTTCGCCTAATTTCTTCTTTCAACTGTTGAATGGTTTGCGATTTTTTTTCGTAAGCTTTGCTTTTCATATAGCTCCACAAAAAATAATCTAGCGCCGTCAAGTCAAGCACCAAGAAGATCAAAATGAACAAGCTCTTACAGTAAACGGATAACTCTACCGAACGATGATTGATGTTTTTTTATGGGATCAAATAATGAACATGAATATAGAGAATATGTGGTTCCAAAAAGATGGTGCGGCATGTCATAGAGCAGGCGAAACATTTAATTTATTGAGTACACAGTTTGAAGGAAGGCTTATCTCCAGGAATGGGCACCAAAAATTGACCACCAAGCTCATGCGACTTGACGCCGCTAGATTATTTATTATAGGACTATGTGAAAAGCAAAGCTTACGAAAACAATCCGCACACCATTCAACAATTGAAAGAAGAAATTAGGCGAATAATTCGTGACATAACTGCAGAAATATGATCAGCAGTAATGGAAAATTTCAACAAAAGAATTATGTATTGCAAGAGAAGTCGTACTGGTTATTTGGCAGATTTTTGTTTCACGTATAATTGTACACTGTCCAGCAACGCACTGACATAAATAACTTTTAAGTATGTTATGAAACTTTTGTTCTATTCGTTATCAACATCAGAAACCTCGTACTGGAATACCGTTTATACAATGTTACACTTTCGACCCCCTTCGTATATTGGTTATCCTATAACTTATCGAAAAATGTGAACAAACAAGTATCATTTGTGGACCAAAAAGCCGCGTCCAAGCTACTCGAACAAAACGTTCGCGAACATATATAATTCACACTATATACTCGTAGCAGCAGGTCGTAAACGACGGCACAGCCCATCGCATCGGTCCCGGGGACTGAGGTGCGGGGAAGAATGCGACAACCAGTTTACTCTATAGATCTAGGATGCGTTTAGGTAGTCGCTGGTTTTTCGAGTGCCCGGATTTTGAGTGCAAGCATTTTATTAAATAAATTAACCGGTAAACAGTTTAAGAACTTTTGTCGTTGAAGAATCAATATTTAGCAGGCGGAGGGTCACAGTGGTCTTTTGGTAGATTATTCGTTATAGTGTATTTTTAAGACCTGTATTCATTTTCAGCCGATTCTACCAGGTGTTTCTCAAAAGGGGCTCACTTTTTTACTTTTTCAGATAATACAACGAAATTTGGTTTGTTAGTATATAACATAAATCGGAATTGATTGACGTATTCAATTACCTTCGGTCGCTTCCTATTTCACCGGAAATGACTACAACTTTGTATTTTTAGATTGTATCCTAAGTACTTTTTTACTTTATTTGATAGAAAATGACATTCTGAATAGAATAACATACCATACGTCAATTTTAGACAATTCCAATTAAATAAAAATAGCATTTTAAATTTCAATCTAGAGTGCCAAGACTGAGTTAAAACTTTTAATTTGTAATCAAAGAACTTTGGAAACATATATTTGATCGTGTATTTCTTTTCGTATCCTTTCAGGGCCGCTTAAAAATGCCCAAATCGTATTTTTAATGATAACTCAAATTTTTCAAATGGTACGAGGCTGGCTCAGCATATTTGGAAAAAGCATTTTTTACGAATAATTTGGTATCACATACTTGGTATTTGGAGTAAAATTGTCGTTATGTTTATTTATGGCCATTTTTAAATTGAAAATGTCAAAAGTTGACATATAATATATAATTCGATTTAGAATGTCATTTTCTATCATACGGTAAAAAAATACCGAGGGTACCATTTAAATCAAAAGTTGTTGTTATTTCCGGTGAAAAAGGTGGTGACCGAAAATAAATGAACACGTCGATCAATCCTGATTTATGTCCTATACTAACGTATCAAATCTCGTTTTTTATCTAAAAAATTAAAAAAGTTATAGAAGTGAACCACTTTTCAGGAACACCCGGTATATTTATTTCTAAAAATGTAATGGTAAAATTTCATTACCGGTGTCAAACTTTCTATTAAGTAGTAATTTTTAATTTCAGAATCCCATAATAATTCCGGTTTTTAATAAAAATAAACATAAAGGTCTTTATTAACAAAAATGAAATTATATGGACTAAGTCTAGCTACATAGCTATTCACACTCAACCCACAATAAAATTAAAATTATAAAATCTTTTCTTTGTGTAAACAAATTAGTTGTAAATGTTTTTCACGATCCCAGTCAATAACTGCGTCTCCCATTGTCGAATACTCGGTAAAAAATGAAAATCACAGATGGACGCCCGAAATTAAATGAGACCCTTCCAAATGTCCGGTACAATGTCCGCTGAAATGCACGTCGTTCGCTCCTTTTGATTTACCGACGCCCGTCGGAAGAAGAACGCGCGCGCTGTAGCATAGGCAGACGCACGCTCTGGCGTACAAGCTAGCCGTTGGCGCTCCGCGCTCCTTAATCTTAATAGGCCTAGGCTAGCTGTACTTGTTGGCTTTATTATTTATAAATCTACCTATCTCACAATTTTCACGTAACATCTGTTTAATTATACAGGGTGGTCCGAACTGTATTCCGGAAACTCCGGCAGCATATTCTACAGATCAAAATAAGTAAAAAGTTCGTATAAATGTATGTCCTAAAATGCTTAGTTTCAGAGATACAGGGTGTAGAAGTTTGATTTTTATTTCGATTTTTTCCAAACAATTTCTGAAGTAACGTCAATATTTGGATCAAAATTGGTATCTGGAAGTTTTTTGACACGAGAAATTTGATTTTGATGTCAAAATTACTCCTATTTGTAGGGGTGGCGCCCCCATGTGTTTTAACTGTTTTGAAGAGTAATAACTTTTCCACCGTACCTGTATAAAACCACTGACTAAAAAAATATACATTTCCATGACTTTTTTAAAAAATGTGTCTCGGTAAAAATCGCTACGAGCAACCGTTTTCAAGATATTTAGAATGGAAATAGTCAATACATGTCATTATTGACAAAAAATAAGCACACGTTGAGTATAGTTTGTTATTTGACTGAAATAATAAATTTTTATTTTTTTAAATTAATCATAAGTTTTTCTGCGAAAAAATGATGATTAAACAGTTTCTTTTGAACTTTGGACACAAAAAGATTTCAAATTTATGATTTCACTCTAATTACTATTTAGTCAACATGTTTAATTCATGTCAATGATGACAGGTATTGATAATTTCGATTCCAAATATCTCGAGAACCATTACTCGTAGCGATTTTTACCAAGAGACCTTTTTTATGTAAAAAAAGTCGTAAATGTATATTTTTTTACTCAGTGGTTTTATACAGGTACCGACGAAAAGTTATTACTCTTCAAAAGAGTTAAAATACATGTAGGTGGCGCCACCTACAAATGGGAGTCATATTGACATGAAAATCAAATTTATCATGTCAAACAACATCCATCCACCAATTTTCATCCAAATATTGACGTTGCTTCAGAAATTATTTGGAAAAAATCGAAATAAAAATGAAACTTCTACACCCTGTATCTCCGAAACTAAGTATTTTAGGACCTACATTTATACGAACTTTTTTACTTATTTTTATCTGCAGAATATGCTGTCGAAGTTTCCGGAATACAATTCGAACCACCCTGTATATGTTCGCGAACATTTTGTTCGAGTAGCTTGGACGCGGCTTAAACAGTGTCCCGTAGAGTTTTTCATGTAGAATCCAGTGGCGTAACAAGTTTTTCGCTGGGAGCTGTCATATTCGAAGTAAGCTTTCTAAAAATATAATATTATAATATATAATAATATTTTAAGCTTTCTAAAAATATATAATATACTCTATAATATACTTCTTTTCATAAATACAGTAAAAAATGCACTATTTAATTTTTTTAACATAAATCGACCTAGTTTAAACAAGAATTGTTTTATTTAATTTAATTTAACCAGATAAAAAAAATTTGCTTTCCATCGTGATATCTTAATAAAGTGAACTGAAAAATGTATTAAAAATGAACTGGTGTAGTTTTTACATAATATGGCTATCAATCAAAGTTACCGATATTTTTGATTGTGCAATAATTTCACACAGAAACAAGCGTGGAGTATCCCATTTAAAAAAAATTATCATAAAAATTGCCCATATTAAAATATGTTAATAAAAAGTTGGTAGGCAGTTCTTTTAGTTTCAGAGTAAAGGAATTTTTCCAATTTTTTTAAACAATATTTCATTTTTTATCTCAAAAACTGCGATTTTGACTGATTTTGATGTTATTACAAATTTTGTTGCAAATATTATTCCTAATCTTAAATTGAAAACCGCGTTTCGCTAGCTACTGTAATTTTGGAGTTACGATTTTTTTTAAATTTTTAACGCCCTCCCATACCAACCCCCCATAGCCAGATTCTCGGGTGCAACAGTATTTTTGTGCCAAATTTGGTTAAAATCGGTTTAGCGGTTTTTGAGTTATCGTGTTACAGACAGACGGACAAACAGACAGACACCATGAGAAAATATTTTGTATTTAGGTCATTTATGACCCAAATAACTCATTTTGAGTGAAATTAAAAAAACTTTTTTTTGCCTATCTTAATAGCCTACCATACCTGTTGGTATGGGCGGCTAAAAACATATGTTTGGGTTTTACAGGAATGACAGCTTCCCGCTAAAACTGGTTACGCTACTGAATTCTATGCTAAAAAATGCAATAATTCCAAATTCGCACTGTATTTAAGGAAACAAGAGGGCTAGGACAAATCTGTGTGTACCATCTTTAGTCTCAAAAGTTACTTATTTCTTCAAAATTATTGTTTTAACTTATTGCAAATAGTGTTTCCCGACTTTTACGTAAAATTTTAAAAGAACTAATGGTGATTTACCTAGTATATTCTCAAAAAATACAAATTTTTAACCGACAAATATTGTTTCTTTCTTTGTGCATTGGTGCACAGGTTTCCTGTGCATTAAATTGCACGAAAAACTGTATTATTTATCGTGCAGTAAAAGTCAAAGTTGTTCTATCAGATAAAAAAAATTGTTATTATTTTGGTATGAAAAATTAATTATTTAGTTAAGTTATTTTTTTAAAAGTAGCAATATAACATTTTGTGGATCCAATTATTTCGTTCAAATATCTTGGTGAGTTTTTTGTAGTTAGATGTCAAATTAAAAAGGCCGAAATCGAGATAATCTAAACTTGACAGTTTAAACTTTGTTAATTTTTTATAAATTTCATGCAGCTGTATTATTTTTGGTCAAAAATTTGCATGGTTTTACAGGGTCACAAACTGAGCCAATAAACAGATAAATCATATAGCTAATTTTCTAAATTTGTTGTAAATTGGTTTGGTTTGGTTTAAACGTATCTAGTAAAAAAATCAGTAGAGCTAATCCTCTATGAGCAATATTTTAAATCATTAATAATGTACGAGTATAACAAGAGTTGCTAATATACCTGTATATTGAGAACTGGTAGCAAGATTGTCAATGGACTCTCTTGGGGCTGAAGGTACGGCAGAATTAACAATGTGTTGTTCCGAATGACCAGTAGTTCTTTTAGCTTGTCTCATCGGATTCCGCCCCACCTTCGATTGTGAGCCGGTTGCCATCGATGAAACTATATTCAAATATACACGAAATTATGAATATAAGATCAAAATACTCAAACGGTACCTAACATGCGTTATTTCTACAACAAACCAAAAGAAAAATATAAAAAGCGATTACAGAAAGCATATATATGGTGCATATACAGGGGTAATTACCCCTCCCAGAAAGAAATTAATAAATAAGTTAAAATGTGGTAGGTATAAAGTAAAATTGTCACTAATACCAATAAAAATAGAAAATTCAGATAATCCCAAGTTTTCTTTTGCAGTCTGTCAAAAGTTAGTGCAAATTTAAATCAAACATATACTGCCCCTACCCCTCCCAGTGTAACAGTTAAATTTCATCGCTACGACCTCTGTGTTCTGGCTCATAAAATATCGCAAATAGCTATTATTTTTGCATCATGTTTACTATAATTTTATTGTTAAATATTATTTTATTTAAATTTTACGATTATACAACCCGATATACACCGCGATATTATACAGCTACAGCTCCACAATATTGTCACTGGCCCAGCATTAGAATTTTTGTCGACCTCTCTTGATCTTTGGTCATCACCTCTCCGTCACTTGTCACTGTCAGATCAAATCAGATGTTTTTGGATTTATTTATCCTTTGTTTTGGTTACTGAAATTTTATAATTATCAGATAAAATTTCGTAGTTAAATCGTTTATTTTTGATGTGGATCGCAGTGTGCAATTCGTTCATTTAATTGTGGGAATTTGTGAGTTAAGTTCGTTCATTGACCAGATATGAAATATGTCAGTGGAAAATATTCTAGAACATCGTTTTTTATTTATGCCTTTTTGTGAGTTGGACTAGTCGAGATATATTCCAGTTCTCTATCTATATCCTGGAGGGAGATTTCCGGTTGAAATCTGATTTTGTGAAGGAAATCGAATCCTTGCATCACTTCTTGTGTACTCCCCGACCGAGAATATCGTCGTGAAGAACTGGCTGTCGTTTCGTGAAGCATTCCCTGTTGGTGAATAGCAGGTCTTCCTAGAGAAGGATTAAGGCTTCCGAAACACATTTGGTCAGAGACGTGGTTGGATTTTGATGATTTTTATGGACCGCCGACCAATTTTCGCAATGGGATTAAAATAGCCAAATTTTCCGACCGATCGATATTCCAATTCCACGTGCCCAAGAAGTCCCCGAATAGTTCCAAGGTATGCTATAATTCTTCTGCCTATTCTAAGTCAATGCTCAACTGATTTTTGTTCATATTGTTGTCTGATTTTCGACTTTTCCACGCCTACGTGATGTAGAAAGATTAGTTGAGTGTTATCTTTCTTAAATCTTATTTGGTTGTTCGTAATTGTAGAGCAAAAAGACCGATCCAGACCGTAGCACAGAACAGTCCAGAATTCCATCCGTTCCTGTTGTCCGTGTAGAGGTACCCGTTGGACATCATAAACCCTCGTTGAGGTAAAGTTCAGATTTAATTAGTCCATCTCTATTACCTTTTTTAACTCCTACACGTTGTGCTAGTCCTTGTTCTATAATTGAGGCTCTTTTCTAAGAAAACCAATATTATTTAGGGTTTTTATGTTCACCATTTGAAATCTCAACGACTATCTTACAACTGTACCTCTGCTGACATCCGTGGGCCCCAGTGACAGTACACCGAACTGCTGTACCCTGCTGTAGCCACCCCATAGCTATACACCGTAGCGCAGCTGGAGGAACTTCCGAGTAGTTTCAAGACTTAGAGTAAGACTGTACAATTTTAGTTTAGATTTAGTTTGATATTTGTAATCCACCCAGGATATTGTACTTACTTTAAGTAAGGGGGATTATGACGTCATACTTTTAGTTACTTTTCTTGATTTAAATTTTATTCTACTTTTCAACGTTTAGTCATTTCCATTTCTTTAAATATTAACTTTTAATATTTTAATAAATTGCTTAAACATTTTTAGTAGTATTATTTGCAGTCTAGTCTCATAGTTAAGTTAGAGTCACTTAAGTTTAACGAGTTATAGCATATTTGAAGTTCATGGTAGTTGCACTCAACAGTTCGAGGTTACTGTTGAAGTCTACTTAATAGTTACATCTTTATTGCCGAGTTCATATAGTATAATCTCGTGGCGCCCTTTTATTAATATCTTTGAACCCCGACCACCCGGCTGTTAAAATTAAAAAGCTAGTGGCCTCTATGCAACTCATTACCGATTAAGTAAACTTGTGTTTTATTGAACTTCAAATTAGAAAAGGACGCGGCACCAGATTCAAGCTTTAAATGCGCCACTGCTAACATTAATGATGGCTCAATTACTAGAGATGGAGTACCCCAGAGAGGGTGATCTTGAAATCCGATTATTTCGAATTTATTAATGTAAATCCTTCAGAATTATGTTATATAGATCATCCACTGGAGGCTCGTGAGATAGTCCCACAGAACAATGGCACTACTTTAGTTTTGCCACAAAACATATTCTTTATCAATTAATACATTTTCGTTCCAATCAACTCCGCCATTTTCCGTCATGCAATCCCGCTTGTAACTTACATATTAAATCTAATTATTCTTATTAATATTGTATACTATTGTATAATTTCTGTATAATCCCGTCATTATTTCTAGTTAAATCACTAAGCTCTCATAATGATGTCAGCCGGGCATTCCAAAAGAGATCATATCGTATAACAATAGTCAATTTCTATGTTTAACTTTTTATCTAAGTAATTTTTATTTTTTTATCTTTATCACTTGAGCATGATAAGCAGTTTATTTTATCTTTAAAAGCTATATCAATTGAAACAAAATAAAGTCAATGTATTAATTATTGTGTATAGGGTGGTGACAATTTCGATGCTCGACATTACAGGATGTCAGAAACTACAGAGATACGAATTCGGTTAAATGAGACAAAAGTTACGTTATTAGACGTTTGATAAAACACCAGTGAAATAAACTCCGGTGACTTAATTAGTTACGATTTTTTGTAAAAAAGATAAAAATACAGTACGTTTGTTTTAAAAGACGATGTATTGAGACCTATTGAATCTATTACAGCGTAAATTGGCAGCGTTTTTGAGCTCGGCCAATTAATTACCGTTTACGACACGTGTCACTGTGACAGTAAGTTTTGACGTAAGAAACATCAAAAGTTGATATCGTCCGATCGCTACCAAATTTTGGGGGTAGGCTATGTGAGCGACAGTGCATAGGGTCGCACCCTGCAAAGTTGGATACGACGTTTCGTTTACATCTTCATCAGGGTGGGACTAAGGATTTGATATTGAAGAAAAATGTGGGTCGATTTCGGCATAATTGGAGACAGGCTACAGGATGATGCCCTCGACGTTTCAAACCAAGTCTCTAAATATACGAAATCATCGAAATTTTTCTTCATTATGCGTCGATTGAAACTAAGCTCGACACATGGATAGAGGTACCAGAATGGCGTTCTCAGACGGACAGCGCACACAGCGCACACAATTTTTTTTATGTCCTGTATTACGTGACATAAACGGGACGCTCAAAAATTAGATAGCAGATGTGTAAAAGGTACCGCTAGAGTAAACAAAACGACTGAAAAAAAACTATTTAATATGTATGATGTTTATCTGAAAAATAGTTGAAATTCTGATAAGGCATAATAAGTTATAGAACACTGTATCCTAAAAGAGCACAGCTTCATATACAGGGTAAATCTTAAATAAGCGCAATTTTTTATATTATCATGACTATGAGTTTTTTTCACGAAATTTTTTTTTTAAAATTTCGAACATTTTTGGATTTTTTTTTGTTTCTAGTTAAAAAACATAATTTCTTCATAATATGGCAACATAGGTAGTAGATTAAATTTACAAGAAAGAAACCCCAGAAAAGATCCAGTGGTTCTCAAAATTTTAGCAAACAATTTTTTTTTTTAATTTTTAAAGTAAAATATCTCGGATATTTTGGACTTATTTGAAAAACGGTAAAGAAACAATATGTTTCTTTTATCGAGATCTACCAGCCCTGAAAACATTTGCACTTATTTAAGACTCGCCCTGTATAATTTTCTCAATAATTTTTAGAAATTTAGCAGAAGATACTGGTTGATTTTAAAGACCAAAGAAGCAATATTTAAAAAGGCTTAATTATCTTGAAAATAATGGCTTTGCTCAGATCGATATAAGTCAAGAAACTTTTATAGTACAGAGTTTAGTAAAATAAGTGGCCAGTGTCGTATAAGCGATTCATATGTACGCAGAATTATTAAAAATTAAAGAATTTCATCCCAGTGATAAACGTAGTGTAGGCAGACTAACATTTTGTGATAGACTTCCTGATCAAATCAATAATCCTGAAACCAACACCAAAATTAAATCCGCTATCGTTATCACTGGTAAAAGAAATTAATCAAGATACAAGTTTCTGTCGCGGTCTAGACTCGATTGCAAAATCACATTCGCAACAAAATTGCAAATCGCAATGAGAATACGCAACTAAAGTAATGTTACGTTTTTATTTTTTAGTCCATTAGATCATTTAGGTTTAGAATGTTCTCAGTGTCTATTCTTTAATGAGATATTAAGGTCATATGGGGACGGGACATATTAGTTAGGTTAGGCCGAGTCCACACGGGTCCGCAGCAGTAATATTGGTCTAGTAACTAAATCGCAGCCAGGGTTCTGTAATTCTTATGAAACGTTGGGAAATACACGCGTATGTGTAGTTACAGCTTAATATATAGGGTGGCTACAGATTAGGGGTACCAGCATTGGTATCTCGGAAATCGTATTAGATACGAACATGAATAAATTGGGACTTGGAATATTCGCCAACATACTATCAAAAAAGTTTCAAAATCTTCAAGAATTGCTGAGTTTTTTGGAAAAAAATTTTTTTTTTGGAAAATCAGTTTTATTCTTTTCCCCTTGACGACAGGTCCAAGAACCTCGCTGTCTTCCGGGGAAATCAGAAATCATTTAATTGTTTATATTATATATTTTATATTAGTTTTTATTATTATACTGTAGGTATTTGATTTTCCCTATCCAATGTT